AAATTATGAAAAAAAAAAAAAAAACAAAATTAACGAAAAAATTAATTTGAAAGAATATTATTTAATGCTACTTTGCTTTCATCTTTAATAGGAGCAGTAATTAATAAAAAAAAATCTACAATCGCTCGTACCGATATTAGGTCGTTTGTATTTACAAATACCAGCAATAAATTCGCACTCTACGTAAAAGAATAGAACTAAGGATCAGTTCGTATCGCGTCAATCACCTAGTACGGGACTATACTGTACACTCTCAACTAAGTATAATTATAAAATAATGATAGATTAAGAGGTAGGTTATAAGGCTGAACCACGTATACGTATGTGCTGCGGCACCAGACGACTGTGATAATTCGGTGGGCGGTGCCCAGCCTCCTACTTCATACTTGTATACCGAAAATTATGAATTAATTCAAAATAAACACGAACACACAATACAAAAAAACTCGTAAACAAATACAGATAGATAAATACATTTGCCAGAAATAATTAAAAATAATGAAAAAATTAGAGCTTGCATTGAAAAAACTTAATGCTCGATCTGTAAACTTGTTTAAAATATTATTTTTTTTTATCTTTTATGGGTTTTGCGCTTCTATATCTATACTTCTTATTGAATATACATATGATTTTTATATTTTAGAAACTTTAATATTTTGAAAAAAAGAAAAATTAATATTCCATATATTTCTTTAAATAGTCAGAGAGTAGTAAAAGATGTAAATTTACTATAATTAACAATTTCAGAAATATTGGACGAATTATATACTTATAATATAAATAAAAATATAGAAATTCAAAACATCTTAATATTTTCACTTTTCCAATGTATAAGAACAAATCTCCAAATTTATTATTGCATCAATTGATTGAAATGCAAGCTCTAAAATAATTAAAAAAGTAGGAATGGACCAAAAATAACAATAATAAAAATCTTTTGATATAAAATTAACTTTAGTATCTGATTATCTTAAATTATTTGCTTATCTTCTATAAATTTTTATAATTAATATACTAAAAATATATATAATGTATATTTTATACATTATATTTCGCATATTGTTTTATGATTCATTATACCATTAATATTTCATTTTTATTTTGCAATATTATAGCTTAAAAGAATTTCTATTTTAAAAGGAAATTTTTAAAATTTATTATATACATATATTGTATATGTATTAAGATGCAATGCGCAAAATATTAAAAAAATTTTATTTTACTATATATGTGCAAAGAATAAAATAATTATATTCTTTCTTCTTATTTTACAAATTTTTCAAACAAATTTTAGATTTTCTTTTCGTTAACTTTATCTGTATTATAAACTATCAATTTTTTTTGTTTATCAATATTTCTCTTTTTTCACTATATTTTGTTATTTAATTGATATCAATGAAATGTTTATAAGAAATATGTTATAGTTTATTTATAGAATATTTTACAAATATTTAAAAAATCTAAAAGAAATAAATTAATAAATACTTGTATAATATTACAAAATCTATATGCAAATATATAACAAAAAATTATAGAACATTGAAAGGTTCATTCCTAACTTGAAATTTTAAATCATAAATTAAACATATTACATATTTACATACATATTTAAAAAAAAAAGCATAAATAAACAACGTGAATACTTCTTTCTCGTGTACATCAAGGTCCTGTTAAATAAATTGTTTATTAATAATAAACGCCATCACGCTTGCAAAATGTGTTTCTAATTTTTAAAGATTTTTAACCTTCAGATATTAATAGTTTCCAACAAATAATTATATCCTAGATTTAATTATAAGATACTAATAAAAATATTTAATAGAAGAAATATACCTTCATGAAATAAAATAAATTATAATTTAGAAAAATTAGGAAAATTTGAGTAAAATTTAAATTGGTTTACATTTATCATATAAAATATTTTATTATTATTAATAAGACTATGTACTCATATTTAACAAAATACCAGTCAATTACATTATTTATCGTACTTATATATTTTTAAAAAAGTATGAAATTGCAAGAAGTTATATAAGTATATAAGTATTTATAAATGATTCTATATAATGAAGAAAGAAAAAAATTTAGTAATTAATTCTTTTTATAACATATTTACATTGTTTTTATAAAATGCGCTCAAATTAGATTACATATTTACAAATATTTTTCTAAAGTTTTTTTTACAATTTATTTTAATTTTTGACAAAAAAATTTTAATTTTTTTCACATAATTTTAGTATGAATTTCTAGATCAAATAATCTTGTTTTTTTATCTATTTTTTATATTAAAAAAATTAATAATTAATAAATATTGTAAATATGCTAAATATGAAAAGCTGAAAGAATATAATTTCAAATTGCTTTTTAATCGAAAAAATTCTTATTGCAATTTAAATTAAATTTTTTATATTTTTATGATAGTGATTAGAAAAGTATATTATATATATATTACATTACTATTGCATTTAAGTATTCATATAATTAATTATCTATTTTTTTAGCTATCATGAGCAAAAACTTTGTTTTAAACAAATTAAATATCCTGCATAACATCATTTCATTTCCAAACAAGATAACTATAATAAATAAACAGAGAAATATAAAATTAATTAAAATTATTACCACTATTACATTTCGATAGATATACCACAAATTGTCAACAATTTACTATAATACGAATCAAATACATGCATGACATTTATAATAATAAATGTTCATGAATAAGAAAAAATCAATGTGGAATTAAATAATCCTCGAAAATACTATATCGTACTATCTATAAATGTATAATTTAATTGTGTACAAAAGAATTCTAATGAACTATGAATTTAATAGATTTTTTTAATGTTAATATACGCTCATTATCTTGAGATGCAGATGTAATACTCTCGTATTAATTTTTTATGGAATTTAAAAAAATTTCATGAATTCATTGAGTACACATATTATACATTTATGCATATACATGAAAATATAAAGGGACATGATAAATTAAGCGAACGCGTGAATACTTCCATTATACTAACAGGTGCAAAAATTTGATTAAATTGTTATCATAATATAATGATAACATAGTAATTAGAAGTCGGTGGCATCGAAATATATTGAGGTATAAAAATTGTCCGAGAGCGTACCATACATTCAAAGACTAGTTACTGGAACATCTTCGTTTTCTCGATGATCCAATCTGGCCATTGATATGTGGTCCGCAGCGTATCCCTAACAGTTTAGAGTTCTTCTAAAACAAATTTCTTTAATATTTAACATAGTAATCAATTAACTCAGTATTATTTATTTTTCATATTAAAATTATTAATTACCTTGAATTAAACAATATATCAGCCCGGGAATTAATAAACCATACAAGGACGAATGATATACTAGCTACTGAAGTTCCTAAAATCATAGTAAGTTGTTCTGTAGCTACTGAAGGTTTCAGAAACATTCTTACACTTAAAGTTTGCCATATGGATTCTGTCCATGTTGAATAAACTCCTGATTTCATATCGTATCCTATTCAAAATATAAAAATTTAATGCTTTGTTAAAAAAAAAACAAATTTATAATAACTTAATAAACTTACCATCAATGATAAATGCAGGACTCATAGCTGTACTATAATTTACAGTAGAATTTATACATAAACCTGTAGAATTATAATCATCCATCCAAATAAGATGATTTTCGTAACATGTCGCTTCTGTCATATGTGGAACTTCTTCTCTAGTCAAATATGCAAGAAGTTGACCAGTTAATGTAGTGGCAGTATTCGGTACTCTATGTACACCAACATATAATGATAAAACTTGATTAATTAATTTAGCATTTGGAGGTGAAACAGCATGAAATAAAGGACAGTTAGCACTTTCTAGGTAACAAATCAACATTTCCGAAATCTGATATTCAACAGAAGAATTATCTATGGATGGAGGCTCATTACCAGATACTTTTTTATAAAGAATTTTAGCGACATCAACTGCTATTTTTGCTAAAACAGTTGCAAGCTCATTTATGCCGCTCCTAATAAAAAATATTTTATATAATAAGAAATTAAGATAAAAATATATATAAAATTTAATATTAAAAAATCTTAATATTAATACCTATTAAAATTAAGACTTTCTGCATTATCCAAAATTCCATTATAATATTTATTTTCAAATTGTTTACCGTGATTGCTTATAACAATGGCAGTTAAATTTGGTTTTTCTTCTAAGAAACTTTGTATAGATGTAGGTGGAACACTATTTTCCATAACATCTGCATGTAAGACTGTACTGATTTTATTTATTATTTCGTCGTTTTGTGCATTATTAGAATGTACATATAATTTTCCTTTAGTCAGCTGACCAAATTCAATTACACTCTTAATATCATCAAATTTTAAATTTACTCCACCTAATGCATTAAAATTACCTTCTTTCAAATCATAAATTAGTCTACTAGATCCTATATAGTCAAAAGCTTCACCATTTAATAAAGCAAAGACAACATTAGTGTCTGAAAAAAAAAAAAAAGACAATTAAAAATTATTTATATATGCATAGTTTATATTGTACATTATACAATTTCATACTTACTATTTAGTACAATATCTTTAGCTAAGATATTCAAATAATAAGCAGTTGCAAGTAGAGTTACTAATCCTGTAACTACATTTTCTGCTCCAGGTGATATTCCATCAAATAAAGAAGAAGCATCTAATCTGGCTATTACTAATATTATGGAATTGTTATCTTTATTTATGGGAGCTAAAGGCCAATATATATTTCTATCTCCCAATGGATCACAAAATTGTGTTGGATTGAAATTTAACTTAAAATCACTACGTTTAATGCAAGATTCAGAATTAATTGCAGCAAACATGAATGATTTCATTTCTAATGCACATAGTGGTCTATATTTTTGATTTTTTAGATCATATGCATTATGTGTCAAGAAACAAGATCTTATAGCTTCTATCAATGTTTGATTCTAGAATTAAAATTAAAATAGATAATTTAGAGATACTATAATAAGTAAAAATAAAAGAGAAAAATATATAAATTTTAAGAATAAATGATATAAGAGATTTAAAGCCAACCTCTGTATAAAACATTGGGAAAGGCCAATCTTCCATAAGTAATGAAGATCCACTAGGATTCCATGGAGAAGCATCATTGCACTTTTTATATCCTGAATATCTATTAGGACAAGTATCTTCAGGAGAATAAAAATCAGGACGTGGTTGACTAATATTTCTAGCTAATAAAACTCCATTTATCTTATGTGTATTTCTTAATCTAAGTAATGTATTTCTGGTAAACATAGAAAATGTAAGAACTACAGTATATTCTCCAGCAGTTGCATTATATTCAAGCCACCTAATATCACTTTCACCTTCAACTAAATGAATAATGCCAACACTTCCTGACCTATTTGCTATAACAAATAGTATAATATTTTATTAACTTTATTATAAATAATAAATATATTTAAGTCAAAATTATTATATAGAAGAAATTGAAAATTAAATTTTTTCTATAAAACTAAATAATGAAAAAAAGAATAATGTAATATAACATTATAAACTTACAAGAACATCCAAATTGATGTGTTCCATTATGTCTACGAAAACAGGCAGCAACTCCTTCAAAATTCATGTAAATCATATCTTTTATTCGTTCTGCGGCCGCTATAAATAAGAATATTACATTTTTTAATTTTATTACACAAATTTAATAATTTTGTTTTATATATATAATGAACAAAATTATTGGTTTTTCTAACTAATAAAAATTTTTCAAATAAAATAAATTTTTCCTAAATTATTTTAAAATAATAAAAATTTTATAATTTTATAACTTTGTAAATTTTATAATTTTATTAAATTACTTGTTCATTAAAAATTACTTAATTCTTTAATATGATAATTTTATTTATTATATTTTTAAAACAAAATTTCACGCTCTTTTTGTCTTACCTAAATTTAGGATAAAAAATATTAAAAAGAATCCATAATTTAAATATTTTGCCATTTTTTCTTTCGTGAGACACCTGTCAAGAGTTTGTTTTATTTCGATAAGTACCGTGGATTCTCTTTGTAAAGGTTAAACCTCAAACAAGAGATAGAATAGATCTAACATCCAATGTATTTTTGTTCATGCTTGGAAGATTTCAGAATACCTTTATCATTTATATGTCATTTTCAATATTATCGATTCAGCAAAAAGATTGCAGATATAGAATAGACTATATTTTACATTCAAAAATATTCTCTATGTTTAATGTATATAATGAATATAACAATTATATAGAGTTCAATCACAAAAGTTAATAAAATCAATAGATTTTAAAAATAATTTCTTTAATATATTCTTTTATAAATTATTTATTAATATTATATATTATTATAATTAATATATTATTTATTATATTACATATATTGAATTATATTTATAGATTTTTTTGTATCTTTTTAGATTTTTTTATTGCTACTCATAATAAACAGATTCATATATGAATTGAATTCTGTTCAATAAGTTCATAAAGTAAAAATTATATTCATATTTTGTATTATGTAAAAAAAATATCAATTTGTGAGATTTTTTATAAAAAATATAAATATTAATATTTATGTAATACAAACAAAAAAAGATTAAATTCCTAAAAAGGATAATAAAGTTAAATATCTAAGTTCTATCTATAAATTTTGCAAAACAAAAAGACAAGGAAAGTAAATAATAAGAGAAAGATAGAGATACACTAAAAATTAGGAAATCAGCGCCATCTTCAGAGTGCCGCAAATGAAACACATAAAGAAAGGACAGAAAATAATAAGAAAAGGATAGATAGAATAAGAATTAACCTTTATCGCCATCTCTTATGTAACAAAGATATTTCTTTAAAAGTGAAATAAAGTAAGAATTAGCTTTTAACGTCATCTCTTAAATATTTTAAAATATTTGATGAATTGTTTTTATTAATCAAAAGATGGCATTAAAAGTCAATTCTTATTTTATATTCATTTTATCTTTTATTTTTTCCTTTTATATGTTTCATTTGCGGCACTCTGAAGATGGCGCTGATTTCTCTAATTTTTAGTCTATTTCTATCTTTCTTTCATTATTTATTTTCTTTATTTATTGTTACTGGTGACGTGTGATCATGAATTATAAATTATAAATATGCATTTTTATTATTTGTCTTGCAAGATTACAGTGTTTTAATCTTTATTGTAAATATATATATTATAAAATATATTCTGGTATATTACACAAAGAATAAGTGGAAATTAAAAAAAACGAAAGCCCTAATATGATAACAAAAAAAGTAGAAAAAAATTTTATAGCATTCTACTGAAAAATAATAATCTTCATGTCTTTATAAAATTCAAAAAACTTTTAATAGTGAGAAATTTAATAATTTTCAATGAACAATAAAAATGTTTATATATTTATTTATAAATAAACAATTTTTTTTACAATTAAAAAAATATATTAACTAATTAAAGATAATAATTTTTAATCATAAAAAGATACTATTAAATTGTAAAATTGTATTATTAAATACTAAACTTGAAATATTTAAAAAATTATTCTATCTTTTTACATGTAATTTATTCTTTTTTTTTTTGACTTTTTTTTTATTGAATATATTCAAATATAAAAGATAAAATTTAAAATGATCAAATTATTTCATCATTTCAAAGAAATATATAATATTATAATAATAAACCCTTAAAAGATAAGTATATTTTTTTTTATTAAAACAAAATTTGTTTTTAATTTTTTTTTTAATTCGTTAATTATTAATTTTTAATTTTTAAAAGTATTCATTAAATATTCAATATTTTTCTAACAGAAATGCAATTAAAACGCAGCTATGATGACGCATATTATTTGAACAATCATGTATATATAAATATATACATATACATATATACATAATTATTCACATTAATTATATATATACACACACACACACACACACGTATACATATAACAATACATTATACATATAATATTTATGAACAAATGCTTGTAAAGCTCATACAGGTGTCAATAGGCATAGTACACGTGAGCTTCTCAACACGTGTTCAGTGTACTATACAAACAGGAGTGTTGTGTGCGTCAGAAACATTATAGCAAGTACAGTATTGAGACTGAATCAAGTTTGCACGAACTTATAACGAAAAATATTCATTAAAACAGAAAATTCCTTCCGTGTTTGATTTCGAAAGTGACATATGAAACAATAAGGACAGTAAATTAAAAAAATATAAAGTGTTGTTTCGTTTCGATCTGCAATAAAATGAATCTGCGTTTAATAGTTGTGATTAATCATTGAGCATTGATTCAGAAAGAAATACGTAATATGATATTAAAGTTTGATAAATCGTAAAATTTGTGTTGCATAAAATATTTTCTAACAAGAAAATTAAAAAAAAAGTTAATTTTTTGGAAATGAAGCGATATTAATGGTTATATCAAATAATTCATTAAAACAATAATTTTAATTGTTTGATAACAATGTATCATTATTTTAGATAATGACGGACAATCGAATTGAATGCTGACAGCGGACTATTGTGAAAATAAATGGGTTTCATTTTTAAAAAATACAAATTATCTTATCCTCAAAAAGGTTTTACCGTTTTTGAGGAACGTAAAATTTAATCGCAACCAGGATAATAGGTAATATTTTTTTACATATGAATTTTCTCATGTTTCAACATATGCCATTCGAAGTTTCTGTATTAAATAGAACTTTGTTAATAGGATTGTATTATATAAGTTTCTCTTTTATGAATTTCTTAAATGAAATGAATTTTATAACATTACTTAAATATATTGATTAAATTAAAATAAATAAAACAACATTATAGTTATGTTACATAAAATTAGATTAATGTTAATAGATTCTAAAAAGTTAATAAGTACTTATTAATAGATAAGTTATTAGCGTCATTAATATCTTTATGATTTACCGTATCGTATATATAGAGTGTAGTCTCAAAAATATAGAAACACCAGTTGGAGATTTTTGAGATAATTTCAAACATTTGTAAAAATTTTTCCAAAAATTCTCATTTTTTGGAATACTCTATATATGTGTATAAACATATAAATATTGTATATGATAAAATGTCATACATATTTATATGAAGTTTTAATTTTTATGATTATTCTTTTTACTTACGATTTCGGCTATTATATTTTTAAGTCAAATAGATTTGTAAAATATAATTAAACTTTTTTCAGCTTTGTTTTTTTTATAAATATACGAAAAATTAAATATTTAATATATTTTATTTAATATATTTATATCGAATAATATATTTAATAATGATTTATATTAATTTCATTTCTCTACGATGCATGAATGGCAGAGGAAATACATGAATGAAATTGGCAATAAGCTTCATGATCTCCTTTTATTCATATCATATTTTGTTAAATATAATATTAAAATATTAAATTATTCATATTTCGTTAATACAGATTTTATCAGATTTTTTTAATACATTTATATTTTTTTTTATATGTTTTATATCAAATCATTTAAATTTATAATTTAGATTATAAGATAGACTTATATTGGAAGCTGAACTTATAATATTATTTTTCAAATTTTAGATCTTTCTAATGCAGAGAATTAAAGTGATTATAATAATTCTCTTATTTGAAAATTTCAAAATGATTTTTCTTTTCTCTAATGAGTTATTAATTAAACTATAAAAATAATATAAAATTGACATTTGACATAAATTGGAACATATTGAGAAAGAATAAGAATAACCAAATTCGGGAGAAATAGATTTCTATGCAAAGAGTGAAAATTTAAGCTATGATCACTTTAAGAAATTACACGTGATCTACAAATGCAAACACGTGAATAGTTAGTTAGCTAAGGAACATTTTACTGAAGTCCATGACCGCTTTCTGTGGGTAACGATCCTTTTACTGGATATACGATGAAAGCGTACTGCACATATACTTTTAAAGTATGCAGCAGATCGGTGCAACTATCGATGCATGCCTAGCACGTGTATGTCCTAGTCACTAGACTCTCCGTCTCGGCCCAATTCGATCAATGTTGTCTCTTGCACAATAATTTTACAACAGCCTTTCCAATCGTCCTTTCGCTTTTTCTCACTGCTTCCTTAGAGGAACGCGATAACCACGATCTTGCTTTGAGTTCGAGTCTTAGTGTTGCGTTCCTCGACGTTACACTCCTTTCGATCCGCAAGTTTTGAGAAGTTATTAAAAGTTATTTATTGTCGAGACTACTCTGCACGCTAACGCTGATTATATTTTGAGAAATCGTTTATAGTTTGTAATTTCTACGGCTGTTTTTAGACTCAATTATGTAAATTGTTGGAATAGATAAGGTATTTAAGTAGTGAATTTTTCTGTGAAAATTTTTAAATTGTATGTGAATATAAAAATTTAACACATTAAACCGGCATGGAATCATTAAGGAATTCACTTGATGCAAAGGGATACCAGAAATTATTGATTAGATTATATATTATTTTGATTAAAATCATTAAAGTATATAAAGACATTTTATCATTATATTTTGAATAATTTATTATTTATTTGTTTATAAATCAGTATGTCAATAAAAATCAAATGAAGTTATGCTTTTTCAAAATAAAAAACTTGAAAATAAAATTGAATAAAACTAGTTTTTCATTGTAATTTAAAAGATAGAAACTCTTATAAAATTACTATAAATAATTAGTATAAATAATATTTATTGATAGATGTTGGCACTAATGAATACTGTAAAACTTGACTTTTTGGATATCGCCAATGATAAATTTAAAATTATGAAAATATCAAACAATGACTTGATCGAACAAAAGAAGAATCGTCCTGGAAGTGATGACGATTCTTCGAAAACTTTGCAACTTTTACGTATTAAAGGATTTCCCCGATTATTACCTGAAGGTTTGATTTTTTAAGAGATAATTCAATGTTTCATTTCTTCTTAAATAAATTTAATTAATTTAACATTAATAATAATTACGAATAATATTATATTTATAAATTATTTTTCCAGGAATTGAAGCATTGGTTAATTACTGCTGTTATCTGCAAGAATTATCATTGTCTTATTCATTGCTTAGTGACGAATTGCTATTAGCTTTGAGTTCCGAAAAACAAGTGCAATTGGAAACTCTACGATTGGAAGTACATCCAGAAACAAAACCACTTCCACGAGTGAGCGATAAAGCTTGGTTTTCATTTTCCAATCATTTACCGAATATAAATCTTGTGCTGTGAGTGCACATTATATTAACTTAATTATATTAATTGTAAATTCATTACTACTTCACTATTCTTATTTTCTAAAAAGATTATAACTATTTGAACAAACTAAAATATAAACTATATCATCAATTAGAATTCTTATTGTTGTCCAAATATCCATATACAAGAAATACATTTAATTAATTTGATCGATATATTTCAATATATTATATTATTTAAAATGTATTAAAAAGTATAATTCTTTGATATCTTTTTTAAATGTATTATACAATATTAATTCATGCATGTAATATAACATTTCATCTTATAATAAAAATAGATTATCTTATATGACGAATGAAGACGATCAAAGTCCGTTATTCGCACCGTATATTCCTATAACGCACTTATATTTTGGAGAAACTCCATCGGAAACAACGATATTACATATCGGATATCAATGCCCCCGTTTGGTTGAACTAGTGATTGCAGCTTATGGTTCCGGTTTACTTGATCGTGCATTACTCTTTGTCGCTGAACATTGTCCACATTTAAGTGCTGTGGCTTTGGGTGATTGCGAAATCACGTATGTAATATGATTTAAATTTAAATTAACTTTTGCTAATAAAAATTCAAATTTTAATTTTTTTTTCTTTGTACTTTTTCTTTTTTAAATTAAAATGATAATAATTTACTTTGTTTTTTTTTAATACACTCAGTTGCTCAGGATTATTGGAATTTGTTACACTCTGTGCAAAACGTTTGCAAATACTATATATTTGGGAAACGTCATTAATAGAAGATTCTGAATTAGACATCACAACACTATCGAAGAATATATCATTACTTCTTGGTCGTACTTGGGTACCTGAATACATTCCACTATGTTGAAACTTTAAAAATGATGTAAGCAATTAAAATAATAATTGATGGTAATTTGCGCGTATTAAAAATATTTGCATAAATATTTGATAAATTAAACTTTATGAATATACGTATTTATCTTCTGCCAATTTTTACATACAGAAGAATGTAAGAAACTATAACTTATAGTATTGATTAATATTATTTAATTGTAGATTTTTAATAATTTTAAGATAGATCTTTCAAAAAAAAATTTTTTTCAATTAGAAATTGCATATATAATTTAGATAAGAAATGTCTATATTTTTTGATAGATCGTATTATTGAAACAATATAATGATTATAACAAGAGCGCAAGAAAATTATAATTATAGTTTATTTTGTTGTATCGATTCAACGTTACTTGATGAATCGGATACGAACTATATGTATGAAAAAAAAGAACGCAAAAAGCCTTGTAAAAATTGCTCGTGTCTATTAATACCAAAAATATAAACTTTATTAGATTATAATGATCTTGTGATATATATAAAATAAAATAATACCACTATGTATTTACCTTCGCTCATGATAGATATGTATAATATACAATAATTGATATAGTCTATAATTGTAATACAACAGAGTATGTACATTATTTCTACATAACACAATAAATGATTGGGTATACTTAATAATTATAATTATCTAATAACGTTAACAATTACGGTGTCCTTAATATTTATTTGTTTTTTAATTCACGCAATTATTTTTTTTCTTGTACATCTTAATGATGCTATTCTAAGGATGCGAGGCGCTCAGTCTTATATCCCAGCCGATATATCCAATCTCTTATTTTATTAAGGCCGATAGAAAACCTATACTCGAATATTAGCTACGTTTACAATAAACTATATATGTTAATTGTAAACAAAAATCTATATCATTTTTTATCATAAAAATGTTTAATGTTATTATATATAACATATAGATCATGCCAAACAAATATCTTTATACTTTTATGAACATCATAATATATTTATTTTCCATTGAAAGGAATATTAATGTTTTAAAAAATATAATAAAATTTAAATCATTCAATATTTTATAAAAGCATACTATATGTTTTTTACATTATCATTTACAAAATGTATTATTTATGTAGCATTCATTAAGCAACTAATGAGTAGTTAAATGTATATAAAACTAACTTAAACACTTAAAGTAACGAAGCCCTTTGAACACGTTTATTAAAATGCTTATATCTTCGTTAATATACATATAAGAATTTTTAATGACAAAATATTGCAAAATATTCCTAGGAACATTTAGAACAAAAATTATTCTAGTGTAAATACTTTTGTTTATTACTCTAGTGTAACTTTTGTTTTTTATTATATATTATTATACTTATTATAAATATATCTTTAAAATTTATTATTAAAAAGAAATTAAATTTATAATATATAATTAAAAAAGATTTATGTATACATAGCACATTTTTAGAAAAATAAAATATAATAAATAAGAAATTTTATTATTCAGATTTTGCTAGGTTTTTGTTCATTAATTAATCTTTTCAAATTTACTAATTTAAGGATAAAATCAAGTGTTATTAAAGTAGAAAAATTTAGATTGTTCAATAATATAAACGAAAATTTAAAAAAAAAAATGTAAAATATAATGTCAAATGGCAATTACTTTAACTGTTCACAGCTTTACTTATACTTTTTGTTTTTTATCTATATATATATAATATATAATATGTATTATATTCATATAAATATTTTTTTTACAAATGATTCAATGTTGATAAATTTCGTATTAACTAAAAATCAGACAATCACACTGGAATCTAACTATATACATAAATTTTTCGGGCATGACCTGTACAGTACTAGCAAATTCTAAAACTTGGAGTCTATTTACATTACAGATTTTCCTTTACAACAAGTTTCAAATTTACATTTATTACATTCTGCAGGAAAATCCATTTAAAAAATAAGTATACATTACAAATTAAACTTAACTTTGTACAGATCATGATACCGAAGTTTAGTTTAAATTTTAAACAACATAGTTTATAGCTGCATACAAAACATGTCTAAGATATTAATTTTTTTAGCACCAACTTAGGCATGTTTATCATTTTACTATTCACTACTTTTGGCAAAGTAATAATAATGCTATTGTTACGTAACAAGTGTAATCGAATAACAGGCTTAATAAAATAGGTCGGCAATTATTCTATATCATTACAAAGGAGCAATCAAATAAGTGGACGGGTTGGTTGCTTATTCTACACATAATTTAAGTGTTTGGATACAGAAAAAATTAATGCAGCTTTAAGAAATATAATATTTTTGAGCACTGCAACTGCTAAATTTGCTCGTGGGACTTTTTTATATTTTTATATAGATATTCAATATTTAACTTTTTTGTAATTATTTATTTAAAAAAAATTTTTACCGCTTTTTCTACTAAAATTTTCACAATCCTTGTGAAAAGCTTAAGCCCCATGAACAAAATGGGTAATATAATTATTATGATTGCCTTGGCGCATAATATATTTAACAATAACAAGATTTTCATTACGGTAAATCGTATTGAAAATAATAATTTTATTTTCTTCTTTATAATAGATTTCGCTATTATTTACGCACCTGTCCATTACTCGTTAAGATATGGTATCTGGTATTAACCAATCATATCGATAAAAATATTTTATATACCCGAGTAGGGCCTGCAACATAAAGTATTTTTTAAATTGATATGAATTTTATTTTTATTTATAATTATTTATATATATTATATATATTTGTATAATACCAAAATTACACAATCAATCCGGCATATCAATAGATATTATAGGTACAACAGGTTTTGTTAGATCAATTTTTTTAACATGTTTTTCATTTTTTTCTGATACCATTGGTTCTAATGGTGGTTGGTCCTGTTCACTTCTTGGTTGATAAGAAATATTACCATATTCTTGAAGCAATGGGCATAAACTCAATAAAAAATGACAAAAATCTTTTCTAATACCAAACCACCCTAAAATTAATAAAAATTTTATATTTTTAATAATTTTGTTATTACAAAATGTCTAATTATATTTAATACTTAAATATAATTTTTTTACATCTATTTCCTCCCTTTGCATCAAATGACATAAAAATAAGTGTTATGTGAGATATTAAAAGTGGCATTGCTACTGTTGTATAATTCAATGAAATATCTCCATCCAATTTATTTGCTAAAAGTACCTAATGAATAAAATCTTTATTAAAAAAAATTCATGAGAAAAGATTAATTTTAAAATTATTGCAATTCTTACTTGAAACACTAAAATTGGAACTACAAGAAATGTATATGCTAATGCTGAATTCAAAGATGTCCGCCTCTGCCTGGCATTAATTTGTGGTGTTCTTAATAAAACAGCAGCAAATACTATAGCATATAGAACTGCAACTAAAGATAAAGATAAAAGTGCCCAAAGAGGAGCAAACACTACTTCCCAACTCCATGTTATAAAACCATCTAGTCTTAATGCCAAGAAAATAAATTGTAAAATATTTACTGCACAAAATAATTCAAGTTCAAATGATCGATCATGTTTGGCAGCCCATATACACACCTATAGAAATAAAAATATTTATATTTTCTGTATTTAATATAATTATATAATTAATTTATATCTCTGTTATATAATTAAAAATTACTTACAACTATTGATACTGCAGAAATGAAAATAAGAGGTATAAATACAAGCATCCAAAGATGTCTTTCAGATTCTAATTTATCACATACTAACAATTCAAACATTAACAGAATTAAATGTAATGCCAATGTAATCAACATTGCTTTATAATGTACATAAGCATCTCCTTCCAATCTTGCATGTGGATGTCTCCACCAAATATAACTTCCAATAGTAGCACCTAAAATTACCATGCTTTTCCAAAACCATATTGGGGTAAATACAGTCCAATAACTCCATTCTATGAAACCATCCAAACGAAGTGCAAATAATGTTGTAAATATCATCAAACAGGTGTGTACTAAAAATTTACTAAAATATAAATTAAGAATAATTAGTATTTATTGTTTTGATTGCATATATTTTTTATTATTTATTATTTAAATTTATTTTTATATAGATATAAATTATATATGTCTATATAAAAATTATATTATATTATATTATATAGACATATATTTATATATATTATTATATATAATTATATAAATTATATTTATAATTTATTTTAACAAGATTCACAGTTATACTTACACATATACTTAATTGATTAAATTTTTTAAATAGATTATTAAAAATATATTACAAATTTCATAATAAATTATTATCAATTGAATTTATTATTATTCATCCTTTAAATGATTACAAAACAATTATATATGGAAAAATTTATAAACTGATTATTTTTGAAAATTTACGATAAAAGTAACAACAATCTCGTAATAATAAAACATGATAAATAATGATTATTTATAATTTTCTGATTCTTTTTCTTGTGAATCAATATCAAATTAAAATTAAAAATATTAATAAATATTTGATTCAATTATCAAATATAAATTAAATATTAATTTTAAGAAAGATTATATTAAAAATTAAACACAAGGACATCTTATAATAAAATTTATACAATATCGATATTAATATATTTTACTAATAATAAAATTTCATTACATCATAAAATTTTGTTATGAAAATCAATAAAAAAAAATTTTTAAATTCATGTGCGAAAATTTTTACCTTGGATTGAAATCTTGGAATAGTGTTTGAAGATTCATGATTATCAGAACAATTTTATAGGCCAACTACTTGATGTATATCTTTGTGATGACCACCGCGTAAACATATATTCTACTAAAAATTGTTTCATTTATCGCAAAATTTATCGCGGAAGAATATAAACGGTGAGTTCTGCATTTGCATTTGATGAAAAAAATAAATCCCACCGTCTTACATGCAAAAATCCGAATTGTACTGAAATTAGTCAAAGACCAACAGCTGTCGACATTCGATATATCAAATAACTTAAATGTTAGTAGAAAACTTCGTACTTATGCAAATTATATGCAATTTATAAATTGTAAATATTTAAGATATTCATTTATATATATATATAATAAAATTTTTTTAATACATTTAAAATTATTTTAAATTTTGAATTGAAAATAATAATTCTTTTTTAATATATTAATATTTTTAATATTATTAATACTATTTAACATATTTAAAATAAACTTATAATTAAATACACAGTCATTATAATTATGAATATATATTTTTTTAAATAATGTTATTTACTTCAATTTTTTATTTATAATATAACTTTTTAAATTGTACAACATAACAATTTTAATTCCTAATAATAAATAATTAATTTATTAATAATAGAGATTCACATAATATATATTTAAGAATTTAATTTTCAAATAATGTGCTAATTGTAAATAAAATATTAATTTTTAAAAAGATTATTTAAAAATGAAAAACAAAATAGAAATAATCAAATATTTCAACCAATCCGCGCTTACATATTTGTTAATAACTAACCTATAGATTGCTCTACCAGTTTCCGTTTCAGAGTAAACGTGTTTCTTTTCGTGCGTGGCTTCAATTATGGCGGTGGGTAAAAATAAGGGACTTTCGAAAGGAGGTAAAAAAGGTGTTAAAAAGAAGATGTAAGTAAATCATAATATTTTCTTAATGTACTTTAAATATTTCTTGTAAAAAATATTTAATTTTCTCTTTGAAATCATTAAAGATGCTTCATATTATAATAGATTCTGTACATCTGACATTCAAATTTCATGTTTAATATATTGTTTTTATCAATATCTATTAATTCATATAATTTTAGAATCATGTTTTTTTAGATATAAAAAAATTAATTCAAAAATTTTTATTTTTAATTACAGACTTATTTATTCTTTATTGATTTCTTTTAAATAATATTAATATAAATTGAAATATATTGAATTTGATGCTTACAATAGTTAAATTTTGAGTTGAAATTATTAATTATGATAAAATTATGTATGCTTGTTAAAATATGAATATTTCTTAATCATTGAAATTCTAACCTAATTTTTCATTTGATACAGTGTTGATCCCTTTACTCGTAAGGATTGGTATGATGTTAAGGCACCATCTATGTTTACCAACCGTCATGTTGGCAAAACATTAGTCAATAGAACTCAAGGAACAAGTAAGATAATTATTTTTTAACTTTATGTTAAAAAATATTTGCAACTCCAGCTCCATCAAAGTTTTATTGTTACTTTATGGCGTTTTATGTTGCATAGAGAATAGCAGACAGTTACCATAATATTATTTTTTGTGATAATATTAAAACTAATTACTGCTACAAATTTATGTAAAAAATATAGTTTAATACATATTTAATAATAATTACTTATAGTTTCATTATAATATTTTAAATTATTTTTCATATTAATTTTATGCATTCATTATATTGCAGAAATTGCTTCTGAGGGATTAAAATACAGAGTATTTGAAGTATCCTTAGCAGATTTGCAAAATGATGGAGATGCAGAAAGATCTTTTCGTAAATTTAGGTTGATTGCTGAAGATGTACAACATCGTAATGTATTGACAAATTTCCATGGTATGGATTTAACTACAGATAAATTAAGATCCATGGTTAAGAAATGGCAAACTCTGATAGAAGCTAATGTTGATGTAAAAACTACTGATGGATATTTACTCAGAGTTTTTTGCATTGGTTTTACTAATAAAGATCAATTAAGCACAAGAAAAACATGTTATGCTCAACATGCACAGGTTGATATTTATATAAATAATTTATACAAATTTATAAATATATTATTTTTTATTTTTAACATTTGCAACTTAAAATGCATAAAGGTTAAATAACATTTTTGTGTTTTATGAAGTTGCATAGATTAATAAGCACTCGCTTACCACACTATTTTTGGACTAGAAAATAGTGATATTTGATGTTGCAACATTTTTTTATTAAAATATATTTATGGGATATATTTTGAAGATTGATTCTAAAAAAATATCAGTTAAAACATATTTGTAATTTATTTTAAATTATAAGCAATTTAGAATTGTGTTAAATAAAGTAACAAAACAATGTGATAATGAAATAACAAAAATAGAATGATCCTCGTTGCCACTTCATACAAATTTCAATTGTTTATAACTTAAGTAAATATTTTTATATATTAAGTTTTGTGTTTATTTTGGTTTGGTAGAATTGATTCTTCATTCAATATCCAATAAATATACTAACACTTTTAATTTATTATTCATAAGGTTATTTATATAAAATTGTTATATTTAGGTCAAAAAAATCAGACAGAAAATGGTAGATACAATTACAAATGATGTTACAAAAAGTGATTTAAAGGGTGTAGTCAGTAAACTTTTACCAGATGCTACTGCAAAAGATATTGAAAAAGCTTCACAAGGAATTTATCCATTGCATGATGTTTATATTCGCAAGGTATATAAGAAAAAATAATTATTTCTATAATTTTAATATCTTTTAAAAAATATTCGATAAATAGAAATACATTATATCATAGGTTAAAGTATTAAAGAAGCCACGTTTCGAATTGAGCAAATTATTGGAGCTCCATGGTGATGGTGCGGGTAGTAAGAGTGAAGAAGTAGGCGAAAGTGGTTCAAAAGTCGATAGACCAGAAGGCTATGAGCCACCTGTACAGGAATCCGTTTAAGAGAATTTTCTTTCAAAATTTGATATAAATAAAAACCACGTTCCAGTGTGAATATCATTCTCTATTTTATTTTTTTTACTTACCTATTTATTGCTTCCCAAAAAAGGAATATAAGGTAAAATTCAAAAAAATTTGATTTTATTTGTAAATATTTATTATTGAAAAAGTAAATTTATTATATTAATTATTCTATTAATTAAAAAAAACTATAAATCAATAAAAAAAAGATCCATAGTTTATTTCGTCGTTATTAAGATTTAAAATTAAAATATTAAAAACTTTGTAGTATGAATAGTTAATGTAGTAAAGTTCGAGTGACGAACAACCAACTTCCTATTAATAGTGCTTTGAAACTCTCATTCCAGGATGCAAATACATAAATCAATAATATCAAAAAAAATATTTTTGTTATTATATCAATCCAATACATACTGCAATAAAAATTATATATGTTAATAATTAATAACATTTTATAACTTCCAAAATTTAATTTTATATTTAAATAGATCTTACATTCTTAAATGTCTTCGAGCAGCTGGTAAAGTTTCTGGCGGTTCGTTCAGTATATAAATTCTTGCTGCTCTTATACATGTTTCAAAATATGCATCTATATCCATATCTTCCCCATGTAATTGATATTTTCCATATTCCACAGGATTAAGTTTATCTCGTATTTCCAAGAGATTTGAATTTTCGAAGTCCCACTGATTGTTGGCATAATATTCAAAAACTTCGAAACCTTTTTGAATCCGACGTTGTATACGGCACATACTATTCATAGTAAGAGTTTTTTATCCTTTAATGTCGTCAAAATATTTTGATTTGGAAATAATTGATGATCTATAATCTAATTAAATGAAAAATTATAATTTTCAAATGTACTTACATTGGCTTATAACCTGCAAGGAAAAAAAGTGCATCTATGAAATAAGCAGGTATCATATGAAAGAATAAAACACATATATTATGCATGAGCCTTGATCTTTTCATACTTCCACCTGGATACCAAACAACTCCATTCAAAGGAACTTTTTCTGTTATTTTTCGACCCCTGGCAATGATTTCTGCCCATGATACCTAAAATTTTCATGTTAGGACACATTGAATGTATATATAAATTACTATTACTAATTATATTAAAAATTATTTACCTTAAATTCACTACTGCTTGTAAGATTGTAAACTCTCTTTTCATGATCTTTACAATAGATAAAATTCCAAGAAGCAACAAGAATTGCATTTACTGCAATATCAACAGGAAGATAATCAGCATAACCACTATCATTACAATACATCGTTCGAATAACACCTTTTCCAGCACCAATCAAGAGTCCTGTTGGACCATTAATATTATCTGTCCATCCTGGAAGAGGTTCTTTCCATATTGGTATAACTATGCTTGGTCTAAGATTTAAAATAATTTCCGGTTAAAAATATTTATTATTTCTATAAGTATTTATTTTTATTTATACCTTAATATAATTGCTGGAATATGCGGCATTGCTTCTTCAACAAGACTTTCTGACAATGCTTTGGTAAAGGCATATGTATTAGGAAAGTGTGCTAAAATTTTACCTGTCATAGCTTCAACTACTTCATCATCCATCCATTCTACACATTTAATTATTTTATGAGGATTTCCAGGTGGTGGATAAGGTTTTTCTCCTAAAACCTGAGAAAATCATTTTATGAAAAAAATGTAAGTATTCGTATTTAATTTTAAATATGATTAGAGATATAATACTTTTTCTTCAAGATGACAATATGCTGTACTGATATGAGCAAATAATTTTAAATGTTTCATCTCTTTGGCTAATTCCAACATTTGCTTTGTACCACGCGTGTTTAATAGTACTGCTTTTTTCAACATTTCATCAAACCTATAATAATTTGATGATCAAATTCAATATTATTTATATTGATATTATAAATATATGTTTCTAATACATTCATTTTATATTACCGTACTGTAGCAGCTGCATGATATACAATATTAATCTTTTCACAAAGCATTTTTCTATCTTCTGAAGAAAGACCAAGTCCAGGTAGCGATACATCTCCGTTTATAACAGTTACAGATTTTTTAAGTGTTTCTGCACCTCTTTGTTTTTTAACTTTTTCAAATAGCTGAAATAATTTCTCAATTATTTTTTAATAATTATTCATTAATTTTATATACTTAATATACTTAATATACTTAAATATAAATTGATGTATTGAACTCGAATTAAAAATCGTTCGTTTTAAAAGAAATTCTTTTTTAAACATGATTTTATTTGTTTTATTTTTATTTTTATT